TGCATGGGCACTCTGGATAGCTGGTGAATATGTAGGTATTATGTGGAGTCACATATTTTTATGTCCAAAAGCATCCTAGCAATGTGAATTAGGGGCTTCTCACATTGGCTTAGAAAAGGTGTTGAAGGTAAGAATCTTGATACTAAGTGTGTTCACTTCATTTATTTGTTTCCCCCAAGAAGCTGAATCCCCCTGGAGGAAGTTGACTGTGGATAATCCTGTACCTCTTCTAGCTATATGAAATGGAAGTATAGAAAAGTGAATTGGATTTTTCTGAAAGCTTCTGGCACGAGTGCTCAGGTGCCTATTTCCAGGCATCATCCTGAAATAATCTGGTCGCATATTTTGTGGCCATTATCAGATTTTGCTTTCTGCTCATGGGTGTCATAAAAAAAAAACAAAAAACAAAAAACAAAAAAAAAAAACATTATGAATACTTAGAGTCTTGCTCTAAACCCAAAAAAGGGAAAGAGTAAAGAAATGAGATAACTTATGTTTGGAAATACCTTTTTCCTCAGAAGTATTTTTTTCTTCAGAATGTGTGAAAATATGTTATTAGCCTATTTAGTAGTTTTTATTCTAGTATATTAAGATACTTTAACAAAACACTGGGAAGAAACATTTGATATAATTCTTCACAGGTATATTACATAGGTGGCTTTTCTGTTTATGGTGGTTTGGGTCTAAAAAAAAAAAAAAAAGCCTAACTTTATTTACCTTCATCAGATGTTGACTTTGCAGAGCATAGAGAATATAGCACCAGCCATGCAGAAAGTACCTGTTTGTCACTGGGAGAGTTCAAACACGAACTGGAACCAATGGCCCTTTAAATACCTTCTCTTGTTGTTTAAAGCATATCACAGCTTTGTGAAGTAATTGTTAAAGCAAAATACTGTAACTGAGCCAAAGAATCAAATTCCTTTAACTCTAGTCAGACTAGTGGCTGAGTCAGGTACTCTCAGTTGTGTTCCATTGTTTCATGATTGGGCACTCTCGGAAAGCCTTGCCTAGAATGTAATTAGGAATAAGGAAATCAAGAAATAGCATAATTTGCCTTTTGGTGTGTTTGTATGTATGTGTATGTGAGTGAGTGATTTTCTACTCACAGTAGCATTATAATGCTTCCTGGGACATAAAACTTTGTTTTAGAAAAGAGTTGCTTGCCAAAATATTCACAAATGCTTTCCATAAAAAAAGTATTTCCTTCCTTTCCATTTTTTTTGCTGTAATAAAATGGCAGCTTTTTTTTAAACATATACTGCATTTAATAAAGGAAAAGAAAGACATCCTAGTAATATTGATATAGTAGGACAATATGCACATCATAGGCTAAAAGTCCCATTGGGAGATGTAATTCACTATGAGATACAGTAATTTTTAATTTCCTCTTTAAAAGATAGAGCTAAATTTTAATTTGGGAGGTACTTATATATAAAATTTTCAAGAGTAGCTTTAGAAACCAATTAAGAAGGATTTTTGTCTTAAGGGTTTGTATGCCTGATGTGAGATGGTTATAAATATTCTAAATTCTTTTTTTTTTCCTTTAGTTTTTACTTCTGTATTAATAGTGCTTTGTGTGGGAAAAAAGTTTCAGCAAATGTTCCCTTTCTTCTCCCTTTTTGTTTTCTACACTAAGATGCACGCAGTCCTTCAAATGTTTACTTGCCTGAATAGTCCAAATCTAACAAACATTACTGTTGTTAGTAGGTACAATTATAGAGGGGCACCTGGGTGGCTCAGTCAGACTCTTGATTTTGGCTCAGGTCATGATCTCAGAGTTGTGTGATCCAGCCCTGTGTGGGGAAATCTGTGCTCAGTGAGGAGTTCGCTTGAGATTCTCTCTTTTCCCTCTCCCTTTCCCTTCCCCATGTTCATGTTCTTTCTCTGGAAAATAAATAAATAAATAAATATATTTTTTAAAGGTACAGCTATAGATACCTTGAACCATTGTAGACTGAAGAGACCATGCAAATATGATAGTATTTCACTGGTTCTTTTCATAAAAGAGAAACTGTTGGGATGAAATAGAGCTTGAAGAAGAGGCTGTATGTGTTTGTTGGAATGCAGATGCTGGGGAATGACAAATTTTGGAGGAAGTTTGCTTGTATAAGAATAGGCATGAGGTAGTAGACAGTTCAGTAGTACCTAACAAACATACAAATAAACAAAAGCTTTGAACCTATGGGTATTTGTATGGTTAAGGACAATGACAACATAGTTAATGTAATCCCTAACATTAAAAATAACAATATAATTGGTAAATGAAAATTATCCTTTTTGCAAATAATTTTACCTTCCAAATTTCTTAGTGGAAGATTTTGACAGTCTAAGTAGTAATGTTTTAAGCTATCCCTTGGGACTTCCCCCTTCTACTTCTTAACCACCTCGGAGAATGCCAAGGACTAAATATTTTTATATAGCAGATAACAGGAAGGAAATAATTACAAGAAGAGCTAATATTTAATGAGTACTTATTCTATGCCGCCACTGTTATCATTTTAGGTAAACCCCACTTAACCCTCAGAACAAGCTTATGAGGTAGAGGTTATTATCATTTTATATATTTGTACATAGATGTACACATTTTAAATAGATAATAGTCCAAATGAATATTAAAAAAATAGATTTATGTAATTATAGATGGTGAGATGATACAAAGGATACATAAGGCTTACTTAGCCAAACAGATAGACCCGGGCTGAATTGCGATTTGAGCCATGGCAGTTTGTTGCCGTAGTGTATTCTTTTCATTACTGCACTAGATTGCCCTGGAGTTGAATACCTGGATTCCCAAAGACGTGATGATTGATTAAACTAGAAGGGTTGATATATATAGCGTCTCTGTTTTGGAGGCAGTTGATATAATGGTTAAGCACTACACCAATCTTAAAAATCCCATATTCTGATCCCTCCTATAACTTTCACAAATTATGTGAATTTGATCAAGCTACAGATCTTGTAACTTTTGCAAAGCGGTAGTAGACACTTACAGGCCCAGATCTCTTTGATTTATTTAGCTATAGAGTTATAGTTATCAAGGGGTAGAAAATGCAGTGGTACCAGGGATGCAGGTAGCTGAAATGTCAGGATTATGCTGGCAAAATCTACTCAGTTCAGTTTTGGATAGCTTCATCCCAGTTCTGGCTGGCTTTAACAAAGGGTATGGAGGCGACTGGTGGGAATTACCTCAGACCCCTTCATCTAAGTATATATAAATATTCTAATTCCTATTATCACCTATTGATAGGTCAGCTCATAATGATTTTCAAAGCTATTGGTGCTATCATTTTCATAATGACATTAATTCCATGAATTTCTAGAGGACTGTCAGTGCATCTTTGGTCAAATCATCTGAGAGGTGCCTGGGTGGCTCAAACAGTTGAGTGTCTGACTTTTGATTTTGGCTCAAGTCATGATCTTGGGGTCATGATATCATGCCTGTTGCTGGGGTGTGTGCTGGGCATGGAGTGTACTGGAGATTTTCTTTCTCCCTCTCCCTCCCCCCACTCCAGGTGTGCTCTCCCTCTCTTTCTCTCAAAAAACAAAAAAAACCAAAAATGCCAAAAACATCTGGGGGAAAAGAAAAAAAAAACAAAAGCAAAGCATTTTTAGCACAATGACACTTTCAAAACTAAAATATTAATAAATGACCACCAAAATGCACCAAAGAATTAATGACATAATGAGAGGTATTATAAATGCAAAAGAAACAGTGGTGATAGGGAACCTCATTTATTCTGACATGGGACATTTACTCTTTGTCATATATACTCACACTTCCTTAGGAACACAGAATTAAAAAAAAACAAAAACCTTGCCAAACATGTTATGACATGGCTGAAATCTTGAACATAAGTACGAGTTGTTAATAAACTTGGCACTTAAATTTGCATTATAATTTCTCCATGTTATGATGATTCAGAAGCATCCTTCATGGAATCCTAAAGGACAGGTTTTAGAAATTATCTTCTTCAGTCCTATCATTTATACCTTAGGAAACAAGCTTAAGGAGAGTGAGTTTCAGGGGTGCCTGGGTGGCTCAGTGGGTTAAGCCTCTGCCTTTGGCTCAGGTCTTGATCTCAGGGTCCTGGGACTGAGCCCTACATCGGGTTCTCTGGTTAGTGGGGAGCCTGCTTCCCCCCTTCTCTGCCTGTCTCTCTGCCTACTTGTGATCTCTGTTTGTCAAATAAATAAATAAAACCTTTAAAAAAAGAAAGAGAGAGTGAGTTTTATTCTCTATATTACCCATCTTTTAAAAAAACCTAGACTGGGTCTTCTGCAAGAGATGATAAAATAATAGATATATGTATTTATGGTAGAAACTTCATTGTAGATGAAGTACCATTGGATTACTTGTATCATTCACTTATTTATAGAAAACATTTATTGAGCTCCTATTACATATGGTGGCAGGAATTGAGAATACAAAACTCTGTCCTCCTCAATTAACTTATAGTATGTATTTAATAACAAAAAAAAATCCTATTCATCTTAGGAGCACTGCTAGGAAATCTCAATATTTCAATTTATCACTCTCCCAAATCCTGAAAGGGAATTATTAGAATTCTCATTTTCACAGATGAAAAAAACAGCTTTGGAGAAGTTGTGTTAAACTGCACAGCATTGCCACACTAGGTCAGTGCCAGCCTTGGAAGTAAGCCCTGTTCAGCCTGGAGCCAAGGTCTGTGCTTTTCTCCAGCAATCCACAGTATGATTTACTTTGATCACAATCACACGCAACCCCCTTTCAGCCACCTATGACAGCCTGACAGGTCTATTTTTGAACGCTCAACCCAGTGATTATGTAGGGAAGCGCATTCTCGAGTTATAGAGAAGAACTGGTGAAAAGAGATCATCCAGGTGTGAAATGGGAGTACAGAGCTTGTTGTTTTTTTGGTTTATTCCTGTTCAATTGTGTGTGCACCAATGTTCATTAAGGTATTTTAAGTGTCTTCATTGGGCTATAATAACATAGATTTCTCTCTCTCTCTCTCTTTCAGGTATGGAAAAATTGTATCCACAAAGGCAATTCTGGACAAAAACACAAATCAGTGCAAAGGTATGTGTAAGGGTGTCTGTACCATGGATTCTTGCATAGGCTGTTGGATCGATGGCACCTCCAAGGCAGAGATCCAGGCATCAGCTGCACAGTGATCACGATGTACAGTGTATGGCAAACCTCTTTAATAATGCTGAAGCTTTGATGAGTTGTATTTCTAGTAACATTGTTCATTAATTTTTTTCATTAACAAACAAAATGAAAATCACAAATCAGAACAAGTATCAAATTGCTTCAGCGTAAAACTAAATTACCTCTTAACAACCTTGAGTTGTCTGATTTGAATGATATCATCAGTGATGCAAATTGATTTCCTATATAAAAATGAGGAACTCTGGGGAAAACTTCCCCGTGCAAAGCACGTTTTAATTTATCTGTTCTTTAAAGCTTTTGCAACATCGGTTGACTAGGAATGAGTTTACGGATGGGCCCATTGTGTCTAAACTTCTGCAGTCAGCCTCCCTCGGGATCTGAGTGGTATCTTATTAAGGCTTTTTTGTTTGCTTGTTTCTCCCTGGAAACATTTCTGAAGTTATTTGACTCTATCTGTGACTTGTGTTTCTTCATGTCTGGGAGTCCCATACTCTTTCAAGGGTTGCAGTATATATTATTTGTGAAATCTGTATGGTCTCCCTTGCATGACTCAGTTCTTACTAGAAAATTGGAATGCTTCTTGTGACATATGTTATTTGTTGTTCCCGTAATCCAGCCTTTTTTGTAATACTGTCATCAAGAAGTATGGAGAGCCAAGATCATTCTAAATACTGCCCTTATTTCACATACAGATGTAATGTGCATATGAACAGACACTCATATACTAAAAATATATCCTAGACTACTTGGGTAATGATTAGATCTGTTCATCAATTTAAAAAAAGAAGCATTTTAGTGTCCTAAAAACTCATGAACGTATTAGGTATTTAGGTACTATAGGACAAAAAATAATAAGACAGGTTCCTGTCATCTAATAGTTCAGTTTGAAAAGGAAACGAACAAGAAAATCAAGGAACTAATCCTAACATGCTTACTAGAATCAGTGTTATTGGCCCAATACATGTGAAAGTGTAACAGAGATATCCATAATAGACATACACACCAAATACTGTGAGAGGAGAAGATAGAGATTTCTTTTGGGGGAATGAAGCTGATAAAGGCAAGTCAGAATGGATGAGCTTGGGAAAGGTCTGGGAGAAAGAATTTTAGTATGTAATTGAGCAGACCCACATAGCTAGAATAGAAGAAACTCCTAACACTCCAATCCACATTTTCTTGTAATTGCTTATTTAATTCTCTCTCTCTCTCTCTCTCCCCAAAGAGCCTTAAACTCAATTAAGATAGGACCTGTATAACCTAGAAAGCTTATCTTCAAAGGGATGTGTTGCAGGGGAATGTTTGGCTATCTGCTGGGAATGCTGGCAGAAAATATTAGAAAATCTCTCTCTCTGTTTTTATATCAACCTCCTGTGTGTGGTTTAGAACATATTAGGATAATTTTACAAATGCATATGTTTTAAATATATAAATGAATTATCGGTTTGCTGATACAACATATTTTTACTCATTATAATATGGATTTAAAAAATGGTTTGGAGGCTACTCGTCTCATAATAAGCACCGATAAATACAGAAGGAGATGGAGGGAGGGAAAGATGGACAAAGGGAGAGAAAGGAAGGGAGGAAGAGAGGGACCATGGAACCTCCTAGGGAAATCATTTAACCCACTGAGCCACCCAGGTGCCCAATCCTAGGGAAATCATTTAATAGAAGGGCAACTAAAGATGACATTATGGGCAGGCAGAGGGCTATTAGATCTTTTGCCCTGAGGGCACTGTGAAGAAGGTGGAGTGAACATGTTGCCATTATACATACACAAATAAAAGCCTCCAGTTGCCTTTTCAGCATTTGGAGCCTGTGGATTATCAATAGTGATTCTGATTCATAATCTTCCTCAAGTACATGGAGGTGGGTCTCCTAAAAATAAGCACTCATGATCAGAATGGTATTATTGTCACTTTCATGTTGAGGGAAAGTATTATTTTAACAGCATTCTGAATCTTATTTAGAGTATTCCTTTCAGAAAAAATGGCCCTTGAAATGACTACCTTAGAAACAACATGCAGTTGGGAAGAGGCAGCAATTATACTTATAAAAATTGTTTATAGTTGTCAATGATAACCAGGGAGTGCATTTCTAAGGTTAGAAGGAAGGTGTGACATCATTGAGGCATTCAACGAACTGATGAAACAAGACATTGAAACGGTCATCTAAGTCTTTATTGAAATAGCCAAGAATTGAAGCAGTAATAGTGTTGGGGAAGGTAACTGATCCAGAAGGTATTTGTGGAGCGCTAAGAGTGATCATATATGGGGATTCTATAGGCAATAATGAAAATGAAGAGTCACTGGTTATAAGATTTTAATGATGGAAGATTCTAAATTGGAGATTTTAGGTAGGAATGAAGCCAAATGGACTTAGGAGCAGGGAGGACTCACCACGTACAGGTCCATTGGGAGAAGAGATGTTAGAAAGGAAAAACAAAAAACAAAAACCAACAAACACTTGAGAAGGCTGCAAAGGAGCAGTGCCTTCAGGGTGAGTCAAGAAACAATCAGAAACATGCAAATTAAAGTAATATGCAGTGATAATTTATATCCACTCGGGTAGCAACCATTATTTCATGCGGGTCATCCAGTGCTGTTTCCTGTCCCCATCTGGTCACCCATCTTTGTTGGTATCATCCTAAATTGGCAGAGGCTTTTTAAAAAGTCAGTTTGGAAAGAGCAATAAAGGGCATTTTTTTTATTAATTTTTTTTTATTTTTTTATTTTTTATAAACATATATTTTTATCCCCAGGGGTACAGGTCTGTGAAATTAACACTTATGGTGACTCGTAGTCTCACAAAACAAACTGAGGGTTGCTGGGGGGAGGGGGGTTGGCAGAGGGGTGTGGGGTTATGGACATTAGGGAGGATATGTGCTGGGGTGGTGCTGTGAAGTGTGTAAACCTGGTGATTCACAGACCTGTACCCCTGGGGATAAAAATATATGCTTATAAAAAATTTTTAAAAAATAAAATAAAATAAGTAAAAATTAATAAAACAAACAAACAAACAAAAAAAGTCACTTATGGTTTATCTCCCTCCCAATTCCATCTTGTTTCATTCATTCTTCTCCTACCCCCTTAACCCCCCATGTTGCATCTCCACTTCCTCATATCAGGGAGATCATATGATAGTTGTCTTTCTCCAATTGATTTATTTCACTAAGCATGATACCCTCTAGTTCCATCCATGTCGTCGCATATGGCAAGATTTCATTTCTTTTGATGGCTGCATAGTATTCCATTGTGTATATATACCACATCTTTATTCATTCATCTGTTGATGGACATCTAGGTTCTTTCCATAGTTTGGCTATTGTGGACATTGCTGCTATAAACATTCGGCTGCATGTGCCCCTTCGGATCACTACGTTTGTATCTTTAGGGTAAATACCCAGTAGTGCAATTGCTGGGTCATAGGGTAGTTCTATTTTCAACATTTTGAGGAACCTCCATGCTGTTTTCCAGAGTGGTTACACCAGCTTGCATTCCTACCAACAGTGTAGGAGGGTTCCCCTTTCTCCGCATCCTCACCAGCATCTGTCATTTCTAAAGGGCATTTTTTAAAAAAGATTTTATTTATTTATTTGACAGAGAGAGAGATCACAAGTAGGCAGAGAGGCAGGCAGAGAGAGAGGGAGAAGCAGGGCCCTGCTGAGCGGAGAGCCTGATACAGGGCTCCATCCCAGGACCCTGAGACCATGACCTGATCCAAAGGCAGAAGCTCAACCCACTGAGCCACCCATGCACCCCAATAAAAGGCATTTTATTGACACTAGTAATTACACTGAGAATGTTGCCCCAAATATTTTTATTTAAACAAATGTTTAAAGTACATGTAAATAGGCTCAGGCTGAACACTCTTTCATTCTCTATAACAGACACAGATATAGGCAATCTCCCAATTCTAGCTTATGGAGCGTATGCAAGTGATACAGCCATTGCAATGACAGGAAAGAAGAATAAACTGTGCCAGATGATGAACATATTTATTATAGGAAGTTAAATGAATATAGAGGAATATAAAATCATGTGTAAAATAAATACAGAGCTAGGTAAATATTTGAGAGTAAGTATGGCTTATAGTTATGTCTGTGGTGAAGCCAGACTGCCTGGTTTGGACACTGCCTCTCCACTAAGTGAACTGTGTGATCTGTGGTAAATGACTCAACTTTCCTAGGTTCCTCAATTTCCCCATCTATAAAATAATAATAATAATAATAATAATATGGCCTGACTTGATGGTTAAGTGGGTCGTACATGGATAATACTCAACAATACAAAGTGTCAGCTGTGGTATAAAATACTGGCAATGTTAAACAAAAAATATATCAAGGGGTGGGAATATGGGTGGTAGATTATTATTAACTTTACATCTCTTCAAATCTGTTATATTTCCACACAAAACAAAAACAAACAAAACAGTTCTTGGAAAAATGATCTGGTTTTAATTATATTTATGTTTTGTGGTTCTTTTTATGAACTATGAGGGACTAGGACTGTATGTTTCTTTGTTTCTTGTAAAATAATGTCCGATGAAAACAGTAACGGATTGGGAGAGAATGTTATGTTTTGCTTTTTTAAATAATTGGCAGATACTGAGTTCTTCCTGACCATGACTTTTTTAGGAAGGATGTGGAAGGGGTGAGGTGGCTTTTTCTTTTCTTTTTTTTTCTTTTATTTTATTTTTAATAAACATATAATATATTTTTATCCCCAGGGGTACAGGTCTGTGAATCGCCAGGTTTACACACTTCACAGCACTCACCATAGCACATATCCTCCCCAATGTCCATAACCCCACCCCCCCCAACCTCCCTCCCCCCATCAACCCTCAGTTTGTTTTGTGAGATTGAGAGTCACTTATGGTTTGTCTCCCTCCCAATCCCATCTTGTTTC